CTTAACATTTAAAATTTCTGAATCAGAGCTAACAAGATATCTCAACATTTTCAGTAGAAGGAAAGTACTAGTTTTTATTTAGAATCACTGGAGAGTTTTAATGACTTTTTTCACAGAATTTAGTAAGGTGAAATGGACTGATAACTTGATATCACAAAACCCCTAAAATACAAAAATAACTAAATTTTACTTACAGTATGACATAGTTGAAATAAAATAATAACTGATGGGGTTTTTTTTCTCCTTTTCTTTCAAATTGACATTTTAAATGGTTAATTTCCAAGTGTTTATTTCTACATCTCAGGATGAAGTGTTCATTAAGTAAACTTGGGAATTAATATATTTGAGGAAATGCATCTCTTTTGCTCTAAGGAAAATATTTACTTTAGGAGATATAGAGTACCTTAAAGTGATAAAATCCTGATAGGAACAAGGTAGTTTGTAGTTAATACAGGCTATCTTGATGAAGGTAAACATGTAGGAGCATAAGATTATTATAACCATCTAATACATATAATGAAATAATGTTCTAACTAAATGAAAGAAATTTCTTTTCATTTGTGCCTCTACCCTAAATTTGCCTTAGTGAAGACAAATTCCAACATGGAATTATTTGGATTCAGTTCTATCACTTATGGTAGAGATTAGATTCTTAGTAAGATATCCCAGGAGAAGCTCAGGTGCCCAAGAACATAAAATGCTGAAGTGTCACTTCAAATTCTTGAATTATGTTAGTTCTGTCTTAATATAGAATATTTTAGCCCAGTTCAAAATCAGTGACATTTATTCTGCAACTGTGCCTGTCCTCTTAACAACTGCCTGAAGGCAGATACCGTGCAGATTGGAAGCCTAGAGATTTTCTGTCCTGAGGTAGTTTTGTTCTTAGAACTCTGGCTTTATGAATGAATGGAGGCCATTAATGATACTGTTCCGTGGAAGTGTCCTCTATCTGAATCAGCAGACAATAATTGTTTTGCAAAAAACAATAAGTAAACTTTCACATCCAGGTCAAATTAGATAATGGCACCCTGCTGACAAAGTTCCTACCATTTCAAATGGATAGTAGCTGCCTATTAACCTACTCTCTCTGTTATTGCATGGCATAGTTAGGCAGCTGTTGCATTTTGTTTGTTGTAGATGTATTAAGCAAATCCCCCATGATTTTGTTGTTTTGGTTTTTTTAACAAAACATTTGGGGAAAAGCAGAAGTTGCAGAAGCATCAACCATTATTCATTTTTTCCTGTTAAGTCTAATTCCTGCAGTGAAATACATGAAATCAGTTAAAAAAAAAAAATACAGAACTGCAATTTTACTGCTATTCTTGTTCATAAGACACTTAAATCTGCAGATCTCTAAGATATCTGATATTAAATTTACTATAGGATGGGATCAATGCAGTTTTTAAAAATAAAGTGATCTTCAACAGATAAAAACATGACAGTTGCAATGAAAGTCAGCTTATTACTTTTTATCATATGCCAAGGTGGCATATTAGGGACTGTTTGTTCTCCATTTCTGCAGTTTAAACTGATTAGGGTGGAGTTTTGGTATCTATTGAATTTGACATATCAGATTGATAAAAACAACAGAGCAGAGAACATCCAATACAGGAATCCAATTCACCACAGATCCAATCTGTAATGTGAGCTTATTCCAAATTCAGAAGGTCCTTGTAGCAATGAGGATTCTCATCTGTATAAGCATGACCTCATTCTATGCCTGCAGAGAAGATACAATTAAGTATAATCCTTCAGTTCTAGGATGATAGCATTTATTGTCATTATCTCTCTGCACCTCCTTTCCTAAAGCCCAAGCATCTTTATAGTTCATGTATTTTGGAGATGTTTAGCATAGCAGGTATAATGAGCAAATCTGATTTCTGTTCTGCAGTATATCTGGAGTACCTCATTAAAGTACAGGTACTTTAAATGAAGACTAGTAATATGCTGCTTTAGCATGCTTTTAAACAAGAATTTGAAAATTTGCAATTATTAACCTTCAGTGGCAATGTTATAAACTCCTTTGATAATTTGCTGATGGATAGGTGAACCAAAGTACTGATTTGTTAAGTGTCTTCTTTAGTATTCATTGTATTTAGTGGTAATGCTAGAATAGGTGTGACCTGTTTACTTAAAAATGCAACTCTATTGATATCAGTAGAATTTTTGCTATTGTCTTCTGTGGGGCAAAAAGTGCCTTAATGATCTAGATTTCTGCTGCTTCTAAATACTGTTTTCTCCTGTTTAAAATAATGCTGAAATGGAGCCTTGTATAATAGAGCCCTAGAGGGAATTGAGGCATTCTTTTAATGCAGATATAATAAATCTGCACTATTTGGAATTAAAAAAAAAAAAAGTGTGAAATCACTAACATTACTGCAGTGATACCAGCCTGTTTCTTCAGTTAACTATGCAATTGGTTGCTATATAGAACAGAAGATCAATATCCTGCAAGTATAGAAGCCACATATGGAGTTTCTTAATGGAGATAAAACACAAACATTTGCTATGCATTTGACTTAAATCTAGAGATGGGTGGAGGGGAAGAGACAGGTATGTGAGGTACTCTGCACACATTTCTTTTAATAAGACTTCTCCCTTTTTTTTTTTTTTTTTTTTTTTTTTTTTTTTTTTTTTTTTTTTTTTTTTTTTTTTTTTTTTTTTTTTATGGAATTTTTTTTTTTTTTTTGATATCACATTCTGGCAGAGGGGAAGAGTTATTTTTTGTAGGAACACAAAGTAATCATGGACAAATTATGGACAAAGTAATATTAACAGGAGACAGAGACATTGCAAGTAGCCAAGTTAAACATCTTAAATCAGCATTAAGGTAAATCAATTTAAAAAATAGGGAAGGATAGCTAACACTCTTTTGTTTCTGCAATGGTAAATGAAACCTAAAGCTGGCAATGGAATGTGGAAGGATCCTTAGGAAGATGATTAGAGCATTGTGGGACTGGATCAACTTTTATGAAAATGGTTTCTGCAGGAACTAGATGAAGACTCTTCATCTCTTCTTTCTGAAGGAAGGAAAAATGTATTATAGTTCAAGGCTTTGATATATGAATGGTCCAAAGGAAAGTTCTAAATAATGATAAAAACTGTACCTTAAGCTCCTGGTAAGATAACTTATTTGAGATTTACCTCAGCAGGCATTAATTTTTAATGCACACTTATTCCTCAGGCCTTTTCCTACAATATTTATTATGGTATATTCACCGTGTTACTGTAAGTAATAACAAGTCTTTAAAACCAGAGAAGTTAAACATGTCTTTCTTGCCACACCAGTATGCTCTTCAAGACAAAAGTTTAGCTGCAAATTGTTCTTGCAAATCAAAATCTATTTTTTTTAAATTATAATGACATTTGGAATGTAAAAGAAAGGAAATCACAATTTGTTGAGTAGATGTAGGCTGTATATAATCAGAAATATTGTAAGGGACTGACATTTCCTTGTTCTGTCTCCAGTCGGGTAATATTACTACTTTAATGTGATTTATAACAAAAGCAAAAACATACTAAAGTATTTTTACTTTAAGAAGGCAGCACTGAAGAAACTAAAATGGAAATCTGTTGCTAAAGTATTCAGTGAAGACCAGACTAAACACTTTAGCCAAACAGCACAGATTACATGCTGTATGTTCAAGTCACTCCAAGTAAAAACAAGCCAAGTGTCGACATAAGGAGAGGGAAATGGAAAAAAAACCCAACCCAAACCAACAGCATATATAATAGGTGATTATGGTGTTATTTGAAAAAGTTGTGTGAAAATTTGAAGGACACAGATACTTGAAAGAGCCTCTGTTACGTGATTATAATTTTCTGATCAAAAAATCCTTCCTATTTAAATCAAATCCCTCCTATTTACAGTGTTCACTGTGACAGTGAGAAATCTGCCAGTGCCCAAATTAGTCTGATATTTTCATGGTGTCAAATACTGTAATACGTACAACTGGCAAAGAACAACATAGTTTCATGCATCAAATGCCAGCAGCAACACTCCCCTTGCAGTGCAGTTTAATGGAGGCTATCAGATTAGAGCAACTGAAAACTTCTCTTCCTCTTTTTTTGGCAACCTTAAAAATATAAAGACACAGTCATTACACTGGAATTTATGTGACCTATTTTTCCAAATGTATGATTAACACATTACCAGCATCATGCCCTTAAAGAAAAACGATTTTGTTTCTGATACTTGTCCAGACACTGAACACATGAAGTAAGGAAACAGTTCATGGGACATGCATGAAACTGTCACTTGGCATGACATGCACATACAAGTTCCAATCAAGGCAAATTTTTCTCCAGATTTTTTGACTTGTACAATAGCAGTGTACTGAATAATTCTTTATTTTGCTTTTGTGAGTCATGGCAAGAGACAGCTTTTTTGAGGTTTATAAGCAAATCCTCTGGATGACTATGTATAGGCTTTATGTATTGTATTAGAAGTGTAAATGTTTGTCCTTGTTTATTCAAATATTGCATACTATGTATCTACCAGATAAGTACTGAAATCGCAAAGTCACAGGCAAACTAGCAATGCCTAAATCAATTTATTTCCCAAAACATTAAATGTTTTGAATACAAATTTCAAATTTTCTTTTATTTACTTTTATTGAGAAACATATACACTAAGAAATCCTACATAAAAAACCTTATTTGCCTTTTTGTTGTTGTGCTACCAAATAGCCAGCATTTTGGGATTGTGAACCCTACAAGCTCTAAACAAATTACCTGCAGCAGCCTTTTGCAGTTTTTCACAGGACAACTGTGTTGAGCTACCCATGCGTACATAGTTCACCCTAAAACCAAATATTATCTTTTGCACATGCTTAATCATTATTTGCATTAAAAGTTACATCTATAATGGAAATGGTTGGGTCCTGGTGGCAGAAGGAGGCTCTCTAGCAGACCATTAAGGACCCAGAAGTGGGAGTACCTGTGATTGAGACACAAAGCTGGCTGTGACTTCTTGGTCTTTCTTGTGAAGCATTAGGTGCTAAATAAGCAGACCTTTAGTAGCCTTCTTAAGGACACATCTTCCATGTTTCCATCTTTGAAGGGAAATGAAGGACAAATGAGGCTCAGGGATGACACTTCCTTTGAATGGGATGAATCACAGCATGAGGGATCTTCGGCTTGGGAGACATCCTTACTCCCCTATTGGAGAACCGGGCATAAACAGGTAGGCATGTTTTGTCTCAAACATTCTGATTGTTGTGACAGGAAAGTTGTGACTGTAAAAGAGGGTCCTGTGGAGGTGGAGCAGTGCTGTATGAAGTCAACTTTCTTTGCTGCCTCGAGACTCATGCTCAGTGTGCCTGCATCAAGACAGGGGTTGAGTCCCCCACTACAAGGCACCTCACCACAAGGGGCTCCAGGATCCCCACAGACCTCATTTCCTGAAGGGCTCTAAAGGGCTTAGTATTGCATGCATGAACGAAAGATTGCAAAAATCTCTTTTACGTAACACATGTGCACCAGATAAACTGTAAAAGAAAGTGGATTGGTGTGTCTCTTCCTCCTGGGCTTACCCCCGATCCAGAGCACTAGGGAATCTGAAATGTTAGGATTGGGAGCATATTAAATTGTGAGCTTGTTAGCCAACACCTCCAAGACCTGATGTTTGTTGTGGGAGTTGGGAGCTTGTTGAAATTTGTTATAAAAGTTAAGGGCTTGTTAGCCAACACTTTTGAGACTAAATAGTGGGCTATTTGCTGGAGTTAAGATGATGATACAATATGACATAAATGTTCCCTGACACATGGACCGGTGTATTTGTTCAGCATGATGAGAAGTTATAAAGAACATCGAGCACCCTACCAAGTGGGTCATGACACCCCATCGGGAGGGAAAATGCTTCTCTCCTTTCACACAAGTGTCCTGTTTCTGTTCCCTAGGAAGATCACAGTGGCACACCTCCAGCAAATGTCCTCCAGAGGCATTGTGCCCTGATGGGAGGCGGCTGCATGCAGATGGTAGGGAGGTATCTTAAGACAATGCGGCACAGGGATCCATCCCCTGAGAACTGGATGTGCAAGCATGAAGTAGTGGAGTCCCTGCCTATTACCTTGCTACGACAGGCAGGGAGACACACCTGATGAAGATACCTATGGCAATGAAATGAAGTCGTATTCTCAGACCTCAGTAATGGGTAAATGTCATATGTAATTTTCCAACTATATTTTAAAGCCCATTTGGTGACAGTGAAATTTCTCAAATCAATGAACTTCTATAAAAACTACAGGAAAGTTCTCCCAGTAAAATCTTCCAATCTTGAGTGTTGTTTGGTGCCTGTTATTTGGTTTTTTCTTTGTTTTAAAAATAATTTTATTTTAAGAGCACATGTTGATAAATTCAAAAGTCTTCATGGTGACTTCACAACAGTTCTAATTTAGGGCCACTTACCATCATTTCAGTCCATCAAGAGCACATCTCTAGTCTTTCATCTTTTCATAATTTTCCACTGTCCATGTCCATCAAGTGGCCATTGCTTGTTGTCGATAATGAAGCCCTCTCCTACTCATTTGCTGTTTCTCTATTCTGTTGCAGCTGGTGACTTCCACAGCAGTTGCTGATGCCAGATCCCACCAGACACTCCTCAGCTTCCTTAAAATCTCATTCTCGCCGCCGTTTACATGCCATTTCCTCTTCAGTATGAATGCAGACCCACAGCATCATTCCAGACTGTGGGACCTATCCTCGACGTTAAAAATTGCTTAGTAAAACTGGGCAGCAGCAGCAGAAACCAAACACTCACGCTTTTTGTTACAAGTGTGAAACCTGCCACTACGCGGCTGAGAGATGTCACCATGCTAGCTGTGGGCGATCCCCCTTCGCTCCTGAGCTCACTCCCGCACCGAACGCTGCGCCGCACCGCTCGGCCGTCCCTCCCTCGCTGGCTTCCCGGCGGCTCGCGGGGCGGAGCCGCCCGGGGCCTCAGCCGCCCGGGGCGACACCGCGGGCCCCGGGCGGGCCGGGGAAGGGGAAGGGGAAGGGGCGGGGGCGGCGCCTCCGCCCGGGCTGCGCTTCCCCGCGCGGCCGGGGAGCGGCGCTGGGTGCCCGCGGCGCACGCCCCGCCCGAGCCTCCCCGTTCCGCGGCCGCAGCCCCGCGCCCGCCGCCGGCGACAGCGAGCGAGCGAGCCGAGCCGAGCCGAGCGAGGTAACGGCCGGCGGGGTCTGGCGGCGGGGCCGGGGAGGAGCTTCGCCCTCCCCCCGCTCCCGATAGGGCGCGGGGCTGTTCGCCGCGGTCTCCCGGGGGCGGGAAGCGGGCAGCCTCCGCGACGCGTCCCGTATGGCGGCGGGCCCGGGGGACCCGTCCCCGGCGTCACCGCAGAGGAGTTGCCTGCGGGTGGGAGGGGAGGCAGCGGGGCGGGGGCGGCGCGGCCAGGCCGCCCGCCCGCGGCCGGGCTGTGGGCGCGGGTCGTGGCCGGCGCGGAGCGGCCGCGGGCAGCGCCGCCGGGCCGGGGCCGCCGCTCGGGCCTGCTCTCGCCGGGGCCTTCGTGTGGCCTCGGAGCGCCGCGGTGCCGGCGGCCTGCCCCCCTCTGCCCGCCACCGAATTGCCCGGCCTTCGCTGTAATCGCCGCTGCTGCCCTGCCTGCAGCTGTGGCCGCTGAAGGAAGGGTCAGGGCCAGCGAGGCGGTGGGAAGGCTTCGGCCGCCCGCCCGCAGCAAGCAGCGCGGAGTGCTGGCGAGCTTCGTCTCGCGAAGAATAGAGCCCGCGAGAGAAACTGACCCGGTTCAAAATGAAATCAAAATATTCTAGGGGCCTGTTCGTTCTTAACAGTCGAGAACCGCTGAAACGTGTTTATCGTGAGGTTGTTTGTGACGTTTGTAGCGTGGTATCCCTCCGTGCTTTGGACAGGATTTGCTGTTTGCTGATCAAGTACCATAAGGTCACTGGGGCTTTGGACGAGTTTGGCTTCAAAAGCGAGAAAAAAAGATCTGTTTACCAGTACTTAACTCGTACACTGAAATATTAAGGACAGTGTGACTGTTAAGAGATACTTATGCGCTATTTATGCAGGGCATTGGCAATGTTTAGTCTGTATCTTAGTCTTGTGGAAGAACCTTACAGTGAAAAGTTGAGAATAACAACTCAAAATGAAAACTCCATTTTCATAGAACTCCAAAGAACTCCCAAGAGGAGTGCAAGTTTTAGAGAACCCGTCTCTAGTTGTGATTTGAGAGCCAAAGGCTGAAATATAAATGGAGAAAATGACAGAGGCAGAAAAAGTTAAGTATGGTATATATTTGTAAGGTTGCAAGTTTTAACCCTCATTCTTCCCGACACAGTCACCCTGACTGGGACTGGGCTTGCTTGTGTCACATGCTTGCAGCGCGTGTTTGCAGTTGGGTTCGTGTAGACTGTGTGAAGAACTGGTCAGGAAAATTTTAACAGCATCAAAGTATGTCTTAAAATCCTGTATTTTATTTTTCAATAAATACAGGGGTTTTTTCTTACTGTCTCTTGGTTTTTGTTTTGTTTTAGCTCTGGAGTTGCCCTCTATTTCTTGTTGCCTTGATTACACTTAAAAAAACCCAACTCTTCCTCTGTTGCATTAACATTAATGCTTTTTATCTGGGGAAGCCACTGCTATAGAGGGACTATAAAAATGTTACATTAGGGGCTTTGGAGGATTTTAGGTCTGAGGTGTTGCACAGTCTCTTGTTTTTCACTCCTACCTGTGTACTGATTTATAATTATGCTAAGTGGCTGACACAGTCAAATGATTATTTCAGGAATGCTTATAGAGCTAAATTCACATGCAGAAGAACTCTATTAAAAATAATAATCCTTGCATTTTAAGAAGTTGCTGCCTTAGTTATTCTCACAGAGGCTCTGCTACTATAAAAATGCCAGTAGGGCATTAATTAGCTGTCAGTTATACTGCCTGTCAGAACTGAATAAGGCTGAGTTTTGAATAGTCTCTGGAAGCATGGTATGGGCAAATTGCAGCTCCAGGACTGCTGGAGTTCTGTTTCCTCTTTCCAAATACCCCACTTGCAGTGGGGAGTCGGAATAAAATCTTAAGCAGTAGTACTAGTGTCAGGTGTGCAGTTGCAGAAGCACCAACATTACCACAAGATTCATCTTTGTTTCAGCCTGCAGCATCGCTTCAGAGACTGGGCATAGGTCACAGTGACACAGCTGGGCTATGTGGAGTCTGCACTGGGGACAGCCCAGGTAGCCCAAGAGCTCAGCATCCTGGAAGGTCTCTCCTCAAAGCCAATTTTGCCATGGGAAACCCTTTCTTCAGCCTGCTTTATTGCCCTGTGAGCTGTATGGGAGAAGGACATAGAAGGGAAGCTATAAAAGGATCAAATACCTCAAAACACCCCTAGAAATGGAAAGACATTTTGCAAATACTCAAGTTTACTATTTTCTGAAGAAAAAAAAAACTCCACAAACTCAAAAAAAAACCCCAACCAAACAAAAACCCCAAGCAACAACCTTCTCCACCTAAACAAGGAGAATACATGTTTTTGTGGTTTTTTTGTCATGCTGCATATCTGCACTCTTCATATTACTTACATATTTTTGCCAAAATACAAGCTTTGTCCTTCAGCGCACAGCAAAAGGAAGTGCCTTTCAAGCAGACCTGGTGGTGAACACACTCACTGGTGGCTTTCCTCCTCCCCCATAACTGTTGTAATCATGTACATCCAGCAGATTTGATTGTCCCTTTCTGGGAGCTCTATGAAAGGGCTCTAGCAGGAGCAGCTTTGTGTCTTGAAAGGAAACTGCACAATGTGGAATTTCACAGCTTCTGTCACCTGTGAGACACTAGGTGGCTTCCACTGCAGGTTGACTTCTCATGACGTGTCATGTGCACAAAAGTTTTTGAGTCCTTCCTAGCAAACTTAGCTCTGTTCTTCAGCAGGCTGTGTTTGCTTCATAAACATCTACTTCAGATGAGTTTGTGCTGGGTTGGTACTCTTGAACTATGTATGTAGTTGGATGAAGCTTTTCTTTTGTTCTCAAAGGAATACTTATTTTTTGCATCAGCTTCAAAAGACTCTGTCTGACCTGGGACTTAAAAATCACAAAAGTGGAAAAAAATCCTAGAACACATTGCATAAAGCAAGTGTATACAAGTTAGTTAGGAATTAGACCTATTTGTCAGTGTGATCTTGATATGACAAAGGAGGATCTTTGTTAAAACTGTTGAACAAGACCTTGGAACAACCAGTGGGAATAACACGGAGTGCAAGAACGAAAGAGTAGAAAAGATCCTTGAAGTGTTTCCAGAATCACTGTCATTAGCTGGCTATAGATTTTCACATTCAATAACGAATGGCCTGTTCCCTTGCTGACTGCTGACAGAAATAGAAGAGCGCAAAAGGCTCCTAAACCATCTCCTGCACTTACTGAGGAAAATCTGCTGGAATGCATTTCCTGTTTTTTTCTTTCCTTTTTTACCTTCTGGTTTTTAGAGGAGGGACTCAAACATTGTCCAAAAAAGAAAAGCTTTTTTTAAAATAAATATTAGAAAGTAAAATGAGTTTATCTCAGTTTGATATAATTGGCTGCTTTTCCTCTTGTGCTTGTATTTAAATACTTAGTAGTTTTTTTCTCCACTCAGGAAACCTCAAAGTGCAAATGAACAGATGTGGAAATTACCTTTGTTGGAAGGTTGTTCTGTAAAATAATTGAATGGCTTTTCAGCTTTTTCTGGTATGATTTTTCTGAAGCCACTTTTTTGAGGTGAATAACTTTCCATGTCTGCAACATGGCCTTTGTTTTGTAAATTTGGATCCTCATCAGGTTCCTGCTTAAGTGAAGTGCTTTGTGTTTTTTGATAATAGTTTTAAATTCTTTGGAGCAGTGGAATGAAGTTAGATGTAAAATGTGAGATGGGTATCTCCATTTCTTGTGAAGAGTATTTAGGCCATCAGCTTGTCATGTTTAGGAGTGTGACAGAATAGTTGTTTCAAATTCTTTACCTAATTTAGGTATACGTGTTCATTTGGTTTTGGTTTTTTGTGTGTTTGGGGATTTTGTTGTTGATGTTTATTCTTTATTTTATTTTGTTTGGCGACTATTGCTGTTTGGGGTTTTTTAAAATTTTTTGGAAGCACAGCACTTGTGAGGAGTAATATGTAAACTGGAATTGTCAGACTTTGAGCATACCTAACATCTTTGGTATGTACACAATGGATTAGGAGTTGGCCGATGCTTTGATGAATTGCAGTTCTTTAGCATCAGTAGGACTTTACAAATAAGCTGTGTAAGTAACATAATCTTATTTTGATGTGCCAGATTTTATTTGCCTAATTTCCCACATGATGGAATGAATCTAGTCTTCACCAGCATGGATATGTAAACCTTTTCATGATGGTTAAGAACTGTGGCGAAGAACCAAGTGGAATGACAAGTGAGGAAACTTACATTTATTTCTAGCTTATTTTTCTGCTATGTTATTTCATTACCTGATGTAAGTCAGCTTTTTTTGATATGAAGTAATCTAAAAACTGAAATCGGGTAGATGTTCTTATCCTTAGGAATACTTATATTTGAGCTCAGCTTGAAATGTTTGGTACTTATTTAAGATGTTAGATGTGCTTAATCTACTCAAACCTTTTAAGTGTATTGCTCATTGTTAAAACTGCTTAAAGTGAGAAAAATACAAATTTTAATTTGTATTCTGATTATTCCTTTGCCAGGAGGAAGCAGCCACTTCTGCTGACATCTGATTTGTATATTAGAAAATATGGTTTCCTGACAGAAGAGTGCATTATAGTTTTTAACAG